AACTTCTCTTTTAAATTATTCCAATAACCTACAAAATCAAGGGAATTTAGTGATAAAATCATCAGGTATACCCTCTACTCACTTATTCACAAAACTATACTAAAATCACGAGTTCAAGCAAGCTTATAAGTCAAAAAGGGTTGATTTAATATCAAAATTGAATCACAGATAACGGTATTTTCAACCGTTATCACCCCACAATCTACATATAATGGAAAAAAATGGTTCATCAGTTTTGTTGATGATTGTACTAGGATAACCTGGGTGTTTCTTCTTAAACATAAAAGTGATGTGTGTGATGTGGTTTGTTCCTTCTATTATATGATCGTTACCCAATTTAAAACATCTATTAAGGTCATTAGATCGGACAATGAAGGAGAATATTTTAAGACTAAATTAATAGAATTCATGAACTCTAAAGGCCTCTTGCATCAAACTACATGTTCTTATTCACCACAACAAAATAGAGTGGCTGAGAGAAAATTTAGACATATATTAGAAGTGAGAAGATCACTTTTGATAGATGGTAATGTCCCATCTCATTTATGGGTTGATGTTGTGAGCTCTATCGTTTATTTAATTAATTGAACCCCTTCTAGTGTGCTTAACTTTCGAAAGTCTTTTGATGTGTTGTTTGATCATTATATCCTTCCTCCCATAGTTTATTTACCACCTCATGTTTTTGGATGTGTTATATATGCTTACTTACACCCACATCAACATACAAAACTTGAAGAACGAGCGATCAAATGTGTTTTTGTTGGGTATGGATCAATTTTAAAAGGTTATCGTGCTTACCATCCACCATCAAGGAAATTTTATATCTCTATGGATGTGACATTCAATGATCGTGAATCTTTTTATGTTGATTCTCCACTTCAGGGAGGCAATGAGAGTGAAGTGCATAATCATGATGTTAATATGTTTGATATCTCAGATATAAAATTATATTGTGAAGATAAATTATCTTGTAAGGATCATTCTGCAGGAAGTGAGCCAATATTAAATATGACACTTCTTTTCTACATAACACAATGTTTTCTCATCATAACCAATTGGCTCAATCTTCTCCACAAGTTCGGCTTGAGTCTTCAGAGGTACCTTTTAATCCTATCTCTGATAATACTAACGTAGATGAAACTAATCATGAAATTGTTTCTCTTGGTTCTACCCTTGATTTAGATGAAACCTTTTAATCCTATTAATTTAGATGAAACCGATCATGAAATTGATTCTTGTCTGCGTGAGACCACCAACACACCAAACATTGACTCTACTACTGTTTAGTATAATCTTTCACCTCGTTAGAACCATGGTCAACCTCCAACTAAATATGAACCAGACCTTCAAGCCAAAGTTAAATATCCCATTAGTAAATATGTGTCATCTCATAGGTTATCCCAGTCATATGCATCATTTGTATCTCAATTATCTTCAATTTTTATTCCTAGTAATATACATGAAGCTTTGGCAGATCCTAGATGGACCAGAGTAATGGTTCAAATAGATCCCTTAAATACCCTCATGGGGTGGTTGAAGAAGTGCTTGTTAAAGTGGATAAATTTGTTCATCATGAAGATGGAGGAGGATGTGGATGTCCCTCTCCTTATTGGGAGACCATTTATGAAGACTGCTAGAGTCTTAATTGATGTGGAGAATGGAAAACTAAAGGTAAGAGTACGAGATGAAAAGGTGAATTTCGATGTGTTTGAAGTTATGTCTCACCCAAATGATGATAAGCCCTGTTTTCACTTTGATACACTTGATGAAGTATGTATGATTCAAGCGAAGTTGGTACGTGTTTCTTCTCCTTTGAAGAAAACTCTCACTGATGCTTGTGAAGCCCTGAATGACAAGGAAGAGAAATTAATTGATGAATGATTGACCGACTTGGATATGCTAAAAGAAATTCCCTTTCATGAGGCGAAAATTGAAGCTTTCAATGTCCAAGAAAAGTCAAGGAAACTAAACTTGAGTTGAAGATGTTACCACCACACTTGAAGTATGTTTTCTTAGAGGAAGGTGGAAACAAACCGGTCATTATCAACAATTCTCTATCCTCCAAGGAGGAAGAAAAGTTGGTTGCAGTATTAAAAGCCAATAAAGGAGCCATTGGATGGTCAATTTCTGATCTTAAAGGCATAAGCCCTACTTATTGCATGCACAAGATATTTATGGAAGATGACTTTAAACCAGTTGCTCAACCACAGAGAAGAGTGAACCCTGTGATGAAGGAGGAAGTTAGAAAAGAATTTCTGAAGCTTCTGGAGGCTGGTATTATATATCTCATTTCTGATAGTGCATGGGTAAGCCCAGTGCAGGTGGTGCCAAAGAAAGGTGGGATGACAGTTATATATAATGAAAAGAATGAGCACATACCTACTATGACAGTTACTAGTTGGAGAATGTGTATTGACTACAGAAAGCTGAATAAGGCCACAAGGAAGGATCACTTTCCCCTTCCTTTCATGGATTAGATGTTGGAGATATTAGCAGGTCAAACTTTCTATTGCTTTCTAGATGGTTATTCAGGATACAACTAAATTGTGGTGGACCCAAAAGACCAGGAAAAGACAGCGTTTACTTGTCCATTCAATATTTTTTATTATAGAAAAATGTCATTTGGATTATGCAATGCTTCAGCCACATTTCAAAGATGTATGCAGGCAATCTTTGCAGATTTGATAGAAAAATGCATTGAAGCCTTCATGGATGATTTTTCGGTATTTGGTGATTCTTTCCAATTGTGCTTGTCTAACTTGGATATTGTTCTCAAAAGATGGATTCAGACAAACCTTATCCTCAACTGGGAAAAATGCCTCTTCATGGTAACTGAAGGTATTGTTCTAGGTCACAAGGTCTCTTCCAAGGGAATTAGGTTGACAAAGCTAAAGTGGAAGTCATTGAAAAACGTCCACCACCAACAAATGTGAAAGGAATCAGAAGCTTTTTGGGGCATGTTGGTTTTTATAGAAGATTCATCAAAGACTTCTCCAAGATTGCTAAGCCCTTAAGTAATCTCTTTGTCAAAGACACACTTTTGAGATGAATGATGAATGTCTTAAAGCTTTTGAATTCTTGAAGTCTAGGTTGATCTCTGCTTCGGTGATTGTAGCTACAAATTGGAATCAAGATTTTGAGTTGATGTGTGATGCTAGTGATTATGCCATAGGTTTTGTCCCTGGCCAAAGAAGAGAGAAGATTTTCCACACCATTTTCTATGCAAGCAAAGTTTTGAATGGGACCCAATTGAACTATGCCACCACAGAAAAGGAATTCCTTGTCATAGTGTACGGCTTGGAGAAATTTAGGCCTTATCTCATTGGGTCTAAGGTAATCATATACACAGATCATGTGGCCATCAAGTATTTGTTAACCAAGCCTGATTCTAAATCGCACTTAATTAGATGGGTACTTTTGTTGCAAGAGTTCGATGTGGAAATCCGGGACAAGAAAGGCAGTGAGAACTTAATTGCTGATCATTTATCCCGGCTCATCAATGATGAAGTTTCAAGCAAGGAAAAAGAGATCCAGGAATCCTTTTCAAATGAAACACTCTTGCATATTCAGCAGAGGCCATGGTTTGCTGACATGGCTAATTTTAAAGCTGCATGAGTAATCCCAGAAGATTTTAAATGGCAATAGAAGAAGAAGTTTTTGCATGATGCAAAACAATTTATCTGGGATGATCCCTTTTTGTTCAACATTGGAGCTGACAACCTCTTGAGGCGTTGTGTTACTAATGAAGAAGCAGCAAAAATTCTTTGGCATTGTCATAATGCACCTTATGGGGGGCACTTTAATGGAGAAAGAACATCTGCAAAAGTTCTTTAGTCTGGATTTTATTGGCCTACCTTGTTTAAGGATGCTCACAATCATGCTAGAAACTGTGATAAGTGTCATAGAACTGGGACCATCTCAAGAAGACATGAAATGCCATTACAGGTTGTTCTGGAGGTTGAAGTTTTTAATTGTTGGGGTATAGACTTTGTTGGTCCTTTTTCCCTTTCTTTTAACAATGAGTATATTTTGGTGGCGGTGGATTATGTGAGTAAATGGGTGGAAGCAGTTGCCTGTCTTAAGAATGATACTAATACTGTCATTAAATTCCTGAAAAGACAAATCTTTTCTCGTTTTGGAGTTCCTAGAGTTCTTATTAGTGATGGAGGATCTCATTTTTGTAATGCTCAGCTTGCAAAAGTGCTCAAGCATTATGGAGTGAGGCAAGGTGGCTTCACCTTATCATCCACAAACAAATGGACAAGCTGAAGTTTCTAATTGGGAGATAAAGAAGATTCTTGAAAAGACAGTTGCTTCATCAAGTAAGGATTGGTCTTAGAAGCTAGATGATGCTCTTTGGGAATACACGACTGCATTGAAGACGGCTACAGGTAGGGATGACAACAGGTCGGGTCAGACATGGATAGTGCCTACCTGCAACCCGACCCGACAAAAAAAAATCCACCCGCTACCCGACCCTCTACCCGCACGGATACCCGCTTAAAAAATATTCGCGGGTATTTTAAAACCCGTGGATATCCACGGATACCCGCAAATATTTAAAAAAAATATATTTTAATAAATTATTAAAATAATTTAAATAGAATTACAAAAAATATATAAAATATAATATAAATTAAATTAAATATAAATTTAAATTCAATTTTAATTAAATTTAATCTTGTAAAATATAAATTAATGTTAATTTTAATTAAATTTAACTTAATAAAATATAAATTAAATTTTTATTTTTATTTTTTGTGTGTATCGGGTATCCGCGGTTACGGATAGTATAATACCCGTATTCTACTCGTTTATAAGCGGGTATTAAAATATCCGCTACCCGCGGGTTGCGGGTAGTAAATATCCGCGGGTATCAACTATCCATCACGGATTTTATCCGCGAATATCCGCGGGCGCAGATTTTTCTGCCATCCCTAGCTACAGGGCTATCTCCGTTCCAGTTAGTTTATGGGAAAGCGTGTCATTTGCTAGTGGAGATGGAGCATCAGGCTTATTGGGCTTTAAAGTTCTTGAATTTTAATCCCTTTGAGACTGTTGATAAGAGGAGAAGACAACTTCTAGTGCTTGAAGAGATCCGTTTGCATGCTTATGATTCTTCAAAGAATTACAAAGAAAAAGTTAAGTTCTATCATGATAGGAAGTTGGTGAAGAAGGTCTTTCATCCAGGCCAACAGGTGTTATTGTTCAACTCTTGCCTCAAGCTCTTCCCTAGGAAATTGAAATCCAAGTGGTTTGGGCCTTTCATAGTTAAGAAGGTCAAACTTCATGGTGCAATTGAGTTGATGGATCCATCTGCTGACAATCCACAAAGAAGTTGGGTGGTTAATGGGCAACGCCTCAAGCATTACTTTGGTAGTAAGGTTGAACGCCTTACCACAATCATTGAGTTGCTTGACCTTTGAGCATAGTGGTGTCAAGCTAATGACGTTAAACAAGCGCTTACTGGGAGACAATCCAATTTTCCCTTCTTTTTAGTTCATTGAGTTGTGTGGTTTTGATTTGATTTTGCTTTGAGTGTTTTTTGTGTTCTTATGTTATATCCTACTTCTCCCGGACTTCAGTGCATTTCACTTGATGAGTTAATCACTCGCATGTCTTGGCCTTGGGACTAGGCCCAAGCTACTGGAGAAGGTGGCACGTCCGAAGCCGAAGTCATGGAAGATGAAGATTTAGAGGAAGATTCATATGCCTTTGAGGGGAGTGATGACAACATCTCCTGTTTTCTTTATTTTTATGCATGTTTGAATTTTGTTTATTTGTTTTTAATTGAGCTATGTACTTAGTTAAATGGATAGCTGTTGCAATGGTTTGGTGTGAAGTGATGAATGGTTTGATTGTGAAAAGTAAGATTATCTTGTGTTTGCCTTATTGTTTTGAGATTGATGTTGAGTTATTGATTGCTTTATAGCTCTTAAGCACAAATGGTGGTTGCTCATAGTTGTTTAAGATAGATGCATGGTTTCAATTGTGATTAATGTGCTTGACATGATGTTTATCAAATTGTGGAACTTGAGTTAACCTGTGAGAGGTCGGGCTCTAGAGTTTATTGTTGTTGAATGCTATTGCTTTGGAATTACGGTTGATTTTGCCTGAGTTTCTCTATTTGAACTATTTTCTTGCTTGTTACAAATGATCAAGGCATCTATTCTTATTCCTTGTAAGCCAATGCCAAAATCTTAACCCAAAAATTTTAAAATTTGTTTTATCCTTTGAACCTTGAGCTTAATGTGAAAAACCCTTGAAATCCTTGCCTTGAGTTGAGTAGAGTATGCATGTATGGTACAGGAGAATGGTTCAAGTTTGGGGTTGTTGGAAAAGGTTAAAAGAAAAAGAAAAAGAGCATTGAGCAAAGCAAGAAAAGCAAGAGAAGAAAGAAAGAAGAAATGAAGGATGAGCTCAATGAATAAAAGTTGGGATTAAGTTGAGAAGTGGTTTCTCAAGTGAAAAGTAGAAAGAGAGATTAATGTTAAATTATGAAGTAAATTGTTCACTCTCTTAACTCAAGGAACTTTTTTGTCCATAAAAACCAGTTTTCTTCTTAGCCCAGCCACAATACAAGCCTTAAAAAGTCCTTGTGATGATAACTTGCTTGTGAATGTGTTTGATGTTGTTAAATGTAAGGCAAAGTTGAATTGTGTGACATTTTGATGGTAGAGTGAAAGAGACACCTCACTATAAACCTTTGAGCTTGAGTGAAACACTTTCTTTGGTAAGGAATGGTTCCATGACTATAGGATAACATTTTGCCTGGTTGTTGATCACTCATAAGGCCTTTGCATCTGTTGTGCATTCTTTGTTATGTGAGCACCATAGTTGAAGCTTGATTGGCTAAGACTTCATTATATCTTGACTGATCTTTCTATGATAGACATATATGAGTGATTACTTGTCTTAGAAGAAAATGTTTTTTGGTGTGCTAGACCATTGTAGTATGGCTATTTTGTTTAAGCCAGATTACATTTTTACTTGAGGACAAGCAAAGTTTCAAGTTTAGGTTATTGATAACGGTTGAATTTGCTTCTGTGATGTAATTTTGATATTAAATAAACTCTCTTTGACTTTGAAACTTGCTCAAACTCTTGTTTTAGTTGAATTTGGTGAATAAGTGAGTTGAGGTTATACTTAATGTTTTTTATCATTAATTCCCTCAATTTTGTAGGTTATTGGTATGATTGGAAGAGGAGAAAAAGTATAAAAGAGTTGAAACCCAGGAGGGACAGCAAAAGAACCAGGGAAAGAAGGCTAAAAAAGGCGCAAGGCGCCTGGTTGCCCTTTTCTGGGGCCCTGGGCGCTAGTTGTCACCCAACCACGCCTGGTTGCTCTCTTTAAGGGCCCTCAACGTTGGAGGTCTCGCAAGGGCACCAGCTTGCCCCAATTTGGGGAGTTGAGCGTCACTCTTCTCGCATTTTCACTTGCTTGCCCCTATCCAGGGCACTTAGCGCCAGCTACATGTCTCATATCTCGCCTGGTTGCCCCACTTAGGGCGCTAAGCGCCAGCGACGTTGGCCCATGATCCAATTTTGATCTATTTAAAGGCTTCTACACATTAGGGTTGGTATCCTTGGACGACTGAAGCACAAAAACACTATTTTCGACCCTTTGGAGGAAGATTGGGCATGCGGGAGCTTTCCTTTTCTCTTTCTAGGGTTTCCATCTCATTTTTATTCTTCCATTGTATTCCAAGGTTCTCCATGACAATGGAGAGCTAAATTCATTTGTTGTTGGGGATGATGTAACCTCTAAACTTTCATGTATTTGAACATGTTTTAAATATTTTATGCTTCTTTCATTGAATGTTAGTGATTTTCTCCTATTCTTGTTAGTGATTTTCTCCTATTCTTAATGCTTTTCTTGTTTTTTCCATTCATGACTTGATGTTTGATTTGTTTGAGTATTGGGAAATATCTTATGAATCATGATCAGGAGGATTTTATCCAAAGGGAATATTGCCCAAGGATAGGGATAGGACGTTTGGTTGTCTTAAGCTTCTTTTTTTAATGCGAAATTGGTTATTAGGGATTCAAGGGATTGAGGTCTAATAATTAAGACTAGGCTTTTTACGCCAAGGGATCGGGTTCTAAGTAATTGCGTAAGTGACATTAACATTACAATGAAGAAGATGAGTTCTAATAAAGTGAAGTAGGTGAAATCTAACCCCAACAACATCATCATCTCATATCATCAATATCATTCATTCATTCTTGCTTTTAGTTTCAAAAATCAAGATTTTACATTCAAGTTTTTGTTTACTTTTATTGCATTTTACTTTTAATCATTGGAATCATTCTTTAGTTTTAATTAGTTAAGGTATTACACGATTGTTTAGTAACATGAGTCTCTTGGGAATCGATAATTTGTCTTACCATTTTATATTACTTGATACGATTTAGTACACTTGCCAATGAGTTAACACTTGGGAGTAAACCAATTGATACACTAATTGAACAAAATCCTAAACTCTTTGAATGCCCAAATTCAGGAAGCATAGACAAAGGCAGATAACAAAGGTTGGTAGGAAAATTAATTTATTTGTCTCACACACATCTAGATATTACTTATGCAGTGAATGTTGTTAGTCAATTTATGCATGACCCACGAAAGCTTCATATGAATGTTGTTAAGAGGATTTTGAGATATTTGAAGTTCGCTCCTGGAAAAGGAATTTTGTTCTCAAATCATGGAAACTTAAAGGTAAAAGGGTACACTGATGCAGATTGGGCAGGTTCAAAAGATAATAGATGATCTACCTCTAGATACTTTACTTTTGTAGGAGGAAATCATGTAACTTGGAGGATTAAAAAACAACCTGTAGCAGCAAGATCTAGTGCTGAAGGAGAATTCAGAGGCATGACACTAGGTATATATGAACTTTTGTGGATTAAAAATGTGCTATGAAATTTGGGCTTTAAACCAAATGAAGCTATGAGTTTGTACTGTGAAAATACCTCGGTTATAGCAATTGCTTACAATCCTATGCAACATGATAGAACAAAGCATGTGGAGATTGATAAACATATAATAAAAGAGAAGCTTGAAGCTGGAATAATTTCCTTTCCTTTTGTAAGATTAGAATTGCAGTTGACTAATGTTCTTACCAAAGGAGTGTCAAGAAGATTGTTTAATGAGTCTCTATTCAAGTTGGGAATGTGTGATATCCATGCACCAACTTGAGTGAGAGTGTTAAAATATGTCAAATATTCTATTAGTAAATATTAGGTAATTAAATATTGTGTTGATTGTGATTTAGGCATTATTATATTTTGTGCAAATTTGTGCAGTTGTCATTCCTTTAGTAGATGAGGAATTATAGTACCCTTGTATGTATATATATGTTACCCTACTCTTTGAAATAATACATCAGAGTTATTCTTTAAACCTTTTTATACCTATCACTAGTGCATAAATAGTGTTTAATGCACGCGTTTAATGTCTAACGAAAGAAAATTCAACGTAGAAAATGACCGGTGGCATTTTTGTAAATAAAACGTCATTATAGAAGTCAGTTCCTCCAGGGATAGACGTCAAATAAGGTATAGACGTTGGTCCGCCCAGATCAGACGTCAAAAAGGTCCGAAAATACCTCAGTTTAAGCACCAATATTATTTTTTTTTATGACATAGACATTGGCCCCCTCAAATCAGACGTCAATTCCTCCTTTAGACGTCGGTCCCCCTAGATCAGACGTCAAAAAGGTCCGAAAATATCTCATTTTAAGCGCCAATATAATATTTTTTACAACATAGAAGCTACAAAATCAGAATTAAAAGGTCAATTTTTCAGACATTAGACGTCGAACGTAGAGGGGGCCGACGTCTAATACACATTAGACGTCAGATCCCCTTTCCAGACGTCAATAAGCTGCAAAAATATCCAAAAAGTAGCGCCAAAATGAATTTTTTTAGTAATTAGACGTTGGATCTAGGGGGGCCGACGTCAAATGCCTTTTTAAACCCCAAAAGCTCATAATGTGAGCCTCACTTTCTTTCTCGTTTCCGTTTAGGTTTTTTCTTCGTTCGCGTTCGTCATTGTTGCTATAAGGTATGTTTGATTAATTTTCTTCCAATTAATTTATTTTACACTGATTAACTTTAGTTTTCACCGATTAAATTTCGTTTGCACCAATTAAATTTTGTTTGCACCGATTAATTTTGGCTTATAATGCAGTTTTGTTCGTGAGTTGATGAATCTTGTTGGCGGCAGCGAATGCCCAATGTCCATTGCTTGAAACTCATAGTATATACAATTTTATGATATGCTATAATGATTTTCTGTATTTCAGGTGTGGTAATAATGTAGAATCAAATTATTATTTTTTAAGAAAAAAAACAAAAAGGATGTCGGTTTAAGAGGGGTCCGACGTCAAAATTGACGTCCAGGAAAGGAGATTCGAAGTCCAATTGAC